TTAATAGTGAATCAGGCAATTACATTGTTTTCACATTTTCATTTATTTTTTTCCTTTACTCATTTTTGCCCATTTTTTCATCATTTGTAATTTCAAGCAAACCAATTGCTCTATAACCATCAACTATCATTTTTTATAGACACAATATATGAATGAATAAATTTTGATTGTGAATCAGCTAAAGGAAAATGCATGTGATAAATTTATAATGAAAGTTAATGACATTTCTGGTTGTCTGGGTGATCCTGATGATATTGAAATTGAGTATTAAAACGTTTTTTTTATCATTCTCATCTTGACCAGGAAATGTCATCATTGATCAATTTGAACATCTTGAAACTTCATCTTGATCCTTTCCTTAGTCCTTCAACTTGTGCCAGTTGAAGTTTAGTTTTTCCCTATAAATTTGATTGTCTAAGCCAATTTTAAGTTAATTGTGTTGAGCATCCAATGTCAAATGATGAGCTAAACGCTGGGAAAAAGTGACATGACGAACTCGAAATGTTAATATGTGCACCATTTTGGGTAAACTTTTTGCTCTCTTCTTCCCATTCAAACAGCGTTAACATTGAAGTAAACATGCCACAAGAAGGAAGAGATAAAGATGAAAAAGAGGAAGAGAGAGACTCTTAAGATGCGGATGAAGAAGAAGATGAATTGAAGAAACGACAAAATGAAAAGCAAGACCAAAGACCAAAAAGCAAAACAAGATAACTGATGCTTTTCCAGTCATTTGATAGTGATTAAAGTACTTTTCCTACTCGTAATGATGATCACTCTGAAAGTATCATTCTCATGATGTGGATTACATTGAAAATGACTTCAATTGGCAACTCATTTTTTAACCCAAAAATACTGGTCAATATCTATGAGTCTTGTTTTGACGTAAACTCATCAACAAGATAATAACAATTAATTTTTGACAACTTTTTTTGTCACAAAAAGCAACGAACCTTCTAATGGTTATAAGTGGATAATGATGATGATGCTCATCTTATCTTGATCTCGCCTTCATCCTCTGCCAAAAAGCGACTCCAAAAAGGTTTCAACCTTTAATTTACTTATTTTTAAGTATATGTACATTTGCATACACTTAATAGACTTAACTGTACTTTAAATGTATTGCGTTTTGACAAAACGTGTTATGCATTTGCCACCCAAGAAACGGCGTTTTTTTCCCTCATGAAAATGCATCTCAAAAGTTTGCTAAATATCTATAGAAGCGAATCAATTTATCATGATTACCATTGACCCTTAATTGTTATTTATATTTGGCCATCGTAACCAAGGTTAATCCTTATCATGTTGTAACGGTTTACCGGCCGCGTGCAGACAATAAAGGTTAATACAAATTAAATTCATCTTTCATGATAATCTCTTTGCCTAGTAACTCTCATTGAACACCTCACTCTTGATCATCTTTTATCATCATTTGAAGCGTCACGTGGCTGACAGAAGACACGAATCAGGTCAAATAAGGTTATTATTGCTTTCCGTTCACTTGTTAAACCTCTTGTTATTTATATTAAATAATAATCAAAATTGCGTTCATCAATATTTTCCAATTATTGAACAGATAATTTGAAAGTTGTCATCATTAAAGAAACGATTATCAGTCTTTATTGTCAAAATTTATTGTCGATTCAAAGGTAACTTTATTGGCATTTTTATCCCTTTTCATTAGCAATAATATTTGCACAAAAGTCAACCCGTTTAACCTTAATTTGGGCTTCATTAATCAATCCTGATGCTAAGTCAATATCAATAAAAGCGATGAAATTTATGAAGCAAAGTAATAGGGAAATTATGATGGAAATGATGATATTGATGATGATGGTGATGATCCTGAGTAATTGTAAGCCTTTTGATTTTTCATGTTTTGGGCAGTGTCAATGTAATGTCAAGGCGGAGTTATTTCACCATGATATTGATGATTGAAAACACTGGCGGAATCATTTATATTAAAACTGTGTATTACTGTTGGTGTAACTGGAAAGATGGAGGGATGATGATGATGAAAGTGAAGATGAAAGTGAAGATGAAACCAGTGAGATGCTTGGATACGCATGATACAACATATAGGTTGACTCTGTTATCCTGATATACAACCCTATACAGTGAAACTTGCCTTTGTATCTGATTCGAGATGCTTCGATGAATATAAGTTGAACATTTGTGAATATATTTTGGCTTTTTTGTTTTGACGATTTCTTTGCCTTCTACCATTTCATTGATTCTGATTGTTTGAAACAAATTTACCTTCTCCTTGTTTTCATGGATTGACAATTTAACAACTTTCTCAATCAAACTAAATGGCTACAGTTTTGACTTTGATTTTACCGTTTTCACTGTTGATCATTTTACAATTAGAGTTGAGCTTTTTTTTACTTGTCAAATTGCTCTTCAATTTTTGTCATTGACTGTTTAAATTTATCATTCAACTTTACATTGAAAATATGTTGCTTTTCCGTTGTCAATGCACATTGAATAATGTTTCACAGTTAATTAGTTTATCTGTTGACTTGATAAAATGAAAAACATTTTTGTCGAGACAAAAATTCTGATACTTGATGCTATTCAGGGAATGTCAAGTGAATTTTGAAACATGTTGATTCAATTGTTTCAATTTCACTTTTAACATTCATCAATTGATTCACTTTTTTGTTTCATCAATTCAATCCATGATTATCATGAATGGTTAAACATTTTGATATTAACTTTTGGAATCACATTGAGTTTAAAGCAAAATACATTGTAAGTTTTGTTACACTTTTATAAATGATTACAAAGTTTTTTTATTACATTTCACTGTATTGAAGATTGAAAAGATGAGCAAATAATTTGGTTCAATTTTCCATTCAAGTTATTCCAAAAATTTGCAAGCCTGACACTTGGAATTCCCTGTAGAGACGAAGAATTCTCAAGTCAAAAGTTGATCTCATCATGATCATCTTGATTATCACGATCTCATCTTGACAATTGAACATGAAAATTGTTCAATTGTCAACCTTATTTCCTCTTCAACTTTACCCAATCATTTCGATTGCTTTTCATTTCATGATTAAACTGATAAAATATTTTCCATTCATACATTCAATATCTGAATCTTTTTTTACCCGATAATATTGTTCTGTCTCAAGACATATATTATTGGCTTGTTTTCAAGTTACGACAATTTTATACCATTTTCACTGTGAAAGCTTATTCAGCATTTGCCATTAGTAATTAACGGTGAAAAGATGATGTTGAATAGGAATGATGTGAAGATGATGAGAAATGAAAAAGTCTTTGAATCGTAATGTTTGGTGAAAAAGACTCATGATGAATATAAATATATAACTGAGTTTACTGTAAGTTGCTTTAAAACATTTTAATAATTTTTCTCATTAACTTACTTTTCTTGCTAATTCAAATTAATCTCTTCTCATTAATCTTTTACTATTATCATTAGACTGTCAAATTGTTTGATTAAACTATATTAATAACTATTAATATCGTTATGAAATGATATTTCTCTCCTTTCTTATCATTATTTCATATCAATCCATTGGCTTTTCAACAAAATTTTCATCATCATTCCCATGAAGATGAAAATGATGATTTTTCGCTTTCTTATCTTTTCTCATCTTCAATCTTGATCATCCTCAAAGGCGGAGTAAACTCACAAAAGGTGTCGACTATTGAAATTATGATAAAATATTTCTATTATTTTCTGCTCAAACTCAACCATTTCACTGAATTGTTGAATTAGGATTAAAAATATTGTTACATGTAAGTGATTAAAACAAGTGGCAAGTTTAAATATTTACTTAATGATCAACAGTTTAGTAAACAATTTAATATCCAATTTGTCAAACAGTTACTTAGGGTTTGCTGATATAAAACCAATTTAAGGAGTCATTTAATTGTTGATTTTAAGGCGATGTTGATTCCTATTTGATTTTATTATTTGATAAAAAATGGTTTGTTTTTTCACATTCATTTTGCTCTTAATCAATTTTTTAATATTGACAAAATTAAACTCAAAATGATGATCAATCAGGATTAACCATAAATTGCTTGCTATTAAAGGTTTCATTGAAAAATGGCTTTTTTGCAAAGTCAAATGTTTACTCAAATTATCAAGTTAATCATTTAAAATGATTAACACTGATCTGTGAAAAAATTAACTGATTAAATCATATAAATTATGTTTATTTTGTTTCTAATTTGAAAAGTGTTTGATCCAATTTCAACGTTAACTTGCCAAATTAATGTTTTGCCAATGGCAATAGACTTGTTTTAATTAACTATCATCTGTTTGATTAATTGCATTTTAATTCAAACAGATATCAATGATGAAATAATCTTATCATGGAAGTTTGATTGTAATGATGAACGGTTCCGTTTATTAATCTTAAATCTTGTTTTAAGTGGATTTAGGATGAACATTAAATTGAAAAAAAGGGAAAGTAAATTGATTAGCTTGAGTTTGATGATCAGGTTGATTAAAGTTACCTTGAAAATGAACTCCAAGCCTTAATATTGCAATCTTATGGATTACATTTCAATGTTAGCTGATAACTTTTAGTCTGGTCTCAATTAAATCTGTTAATTGTCAGTTTTTGATGTTTTCACTGATTAAATACGATTCAGACATTTTAAATGATATTAATCACGAAACATATTCAACCTGATTGTCATCATTTAGTGGTTGAGTGATTTAGTTAATTACAACTGTAATGAAGATGATAAACCTGGATATTTACCTTGCCTTGAATTGCTTATTTTTCATCTTCTATTAATTAGACCAATAACAATAATTTAACACAATTATATCGATAATAATTCACAATATTATGAGATTAACTTTTTATGGAAATTATTTTTTGGCTGTTTCTATGCAGACATTTTGCTGATATTTTGTTGACTCAATTTGAATTGATAAACTAAATGATTGATTGTTTTCAGTTTATCATTAATTCTAATCAATCTTTTGAACTTTTTTCTTCTATCAACAGATATTGTTCCTCTTTTGAGTGATCGTAATTTACCTCAATCATTTTGGAATGTAAACGGAATTCATCATCATCATACTCAGCTTGTTCATCACCATAGTCAACATCATCACCAACTACATTCAGTCCATCATTCACATCACACACATCATCCACACCATCCTCATCGTCATTCACATCAACTGCACCATCAAGGAATTGGTTTAACAAGTACTCAAAGTAGCACTGAAAGTACCAATAATAATAATAACAATAGTACCAATAGTCATCAACATCATTCTGTTTCGTCTCATCTGCATTCACATCCCCAATCCTCTCAACCAGCTCCTCCTACACCGTCAACATCAACTCATCCTCCTCCAGCACCACAACAGGCAACATCAACAGCTTCCTCCTCACATCATTCACCTCATCATCATGCCTCTGTCCATCATCATCCCCACACTCATTTACAAGCCAATCAAACGATGGTTTCCGGTTCAGGTTTTCCGATTCTTGCCGCAGCCGCATCTTCAGCAGCATCGGTGGCAGCGGCGGCTGCTGTTGCCTCTGTAAGTCAACAAGGAGGAGCAACAGTCAGTAGCGCCAATCATGATCTGTATTCCAGTGATCCGTACCATACACATTACCATCATCATCATGCCCATCATCCTCATCATCCTCATGCTGCAGCCGCAGCGGCTGCTGTTGCGGCTCATCATCATAAGGCTGCCACCAGTTTACACCATCATCATCCAACGATTCATCACCACCACCAAGGTGATGCAGCTTCCAATGTTGCCGCAGCTGCAGCATCAGCTTGGTCACATTATTCATACGCACATCATCGAGCAGCTAGTGCGGCATCAATGCACGATCTAACTGCTGCTGTTGGTAGTGCCAATAGACTGAGTCATCCATCGGCTCAATATAGTTCACTGCTGCTTCCTCCACCTCCACCACCTCCTCCTCCAGGTTCGATAGCTGCCGCAAGATCCCGATTTAGTCAGTGTGGTGGATTTGAATTGAGCCAAATGACTGCTCCTGAAATGCATTGGCCATCAACGAGTAGATATGATTTTTCTACGCATCCCCACGCAATCGATGCTAACTACACAGCGTCAGCTGCTTATGGAGCAACAGTAGGATATGGAGATGAATATTTGTAAATCATGGTGTCAACATATTATGTTCCAATTTATAAAAAAATGTTACTAGCTGAGGAAATACAGACGATTACCAGTTTATTTAAGTTAACTTTACCCACTATGTTTCAACCGGTAAGTTTCATTTTACATTTCGCGACGAAGAATTAAAATGACAAAGTGTCTTGAGCATAAACCTTTTAATAACTAAATTAACTTCTAGCACTAGTTACAAAATGATCAGAAGTTGACATTATATTCCTATGAATATAAAAATCAACTAAAATTTGTTAATATTGACCAGATGACATTTCTATTGAATGAAATTTGTCCTTAGTGAAATATAATCATTTAGTTAAACAGGTTCCATGTTGTCCGAGATAACTGGCCCAAGAGCCCTTGCTAAATATACTCCACCAGAGAAAAGAGACCAACTTTTAACAACTTGCCTTAAGAACAAAACAAAATAACATTAAAATTTTGTGATACAACTGTGGATAGAAAAACTGTTTTTAGCTTACCATAAGAATGGATCAGTATAGAGTAGCTTGACCTTGTTACACATCTTTACAACCACATTTGGTTCCGATTTTTTATGCATTTGAGCCATCACAATATAATTTAATTTAAACCAATTTATTAACAGTTTCTATTGATAAACACGATCTAAAAAGGACTCAAGAGTAAATAAAGTTTGAAAAAATGCTGCCTTTCATTTGTTTATTGAATAAGTGAGAGGGTAGGGAGTTGGAAATATTTTCAATGCGCAGGTTTTGAATTTGAAGGGACTGTATTCTAAGTTCGTCCCTACATCTCTCTTGACTTCAAATTTGGAATCCAAAAGTTGAATTTTTGATTTAATGTTGATTAATTTTCTAATCTTCTAAAGAATTAATTAAGATTTAACAGAAAAATCATTGTTAGATTGTATATTTTTTATCAAAACAGAACATTTGTCATTGACAATTCTTTCATTTGCTCCTTGTTGTTCTCAGTTGCTAGCTAGCTTTAGTTAAATCCAGATTAATTTCAATTTTTACAAATTAATTTGGTTAGCTTAAAATATAAATAACTGATCACACATAAAACATGATGTATGTATATTTTAAAATTAAGTTACTAAGTTATTAATTTAGTTATATGCTTGTTTTTAGTCCACTTGCTTCGAAATACTTCATTCCATCACAAAATTAAGACAAATCACAGTAAAATTTTTATAACCTTTATTAATATTTATTTGTTTCATGTTGTCTTTTTTCCAACAGATAAATGCATAAATTGTATTGGATTGGGTTGCATCTTTAAAGGAAAGAATCAATAAGATTGATTTAGTTTTGTACAGAGATGAAGGAGACAACGCAAAAAATTGATGATCATGATTTAATTATGGCACCGATTGATTCAATAATCTTAATTTACTTGGATTGCAAATTGATTTATCCCACACCATCTTTTTTCTTTGTCCTCTTCACGAGATAACTTTTAAAAACAAAAATGGTGCAAAAATGTCGTCTTTTGTTTGTTTCAAAACAATTAAAGATAAAAACTTTCAGTTGCTCACAATAGTAAGCTCAACATTTCCTGAAACATTTTTAAGTAATTCAACGGCTTCCTCATGAGTAACATCTTCTAAACTTTTATCGTTAACAGCAACAATCTGGTCTCCTTGGTTTAATCGTCCATCTTCAGCGGCAGCTCCTTTATCAAAAATAGTTTTCACATAAATGGGAAAGTCTCCATGAGGGCTTCCTTTACCACCGACAATACTGAGTCCTAAGCCTTCATTACCTTTCCTCAGCATTATAACTTTACGAATAGGACTGAAATAAAAGAAGATAAATATTAATAAATAAATCATTTACAGTCATAAAATACTGAATACAAAACTCTACACTAAATTATTTAATCTAATATTTTATATAAACTCATTGCGGATTCACTAATGCGATCATTAGTTAGGCTTTAATATTAGTTGAAATGTGAGTACAGTTTATTGAGGATTGATTTAATAACTAAGTGAATGACTAAATTACAATTGGTGCGTTTTACTGGGATCGCCTCAATAGCGGAATTGATGGTAAAAACGGCTTTAAGTTACCTTTTCAATGTTTACTGTTTTTTATTTGGCAGCATGAGAGTAAAAATTGAATCAACACGTAAAGATTAATAAAGATTTAAAAGAGTAATAGCAATTATGGAAAATGGTTGAATTATGTTTTGCAATACTTACTCTGATTCAGAACTTTCATCAGATTTATTAACAGAACTAGCATTTTCTCCGCTATGACTTAAACGGATTCCTGTTTTCAATCTTCCGATTTTCATAACAATTTTACCCATAGTTGTCTGTAAAAAGATAAGTTGAAAAAAAGGTGAGAAATTGAATGAAAGATTAACTTGTAAGCAAAATGCGAACCTTAAGAATTGCAGCTGCATGTTCATGAGTTGCATTCCTGAGATCATTTTCATTAACTTGAAGTATATGGTCTCCCTGAAGCAATCTACCGTCCGCTTCAGCAACTCCACCTTTTACAACTTCGGAAACATAAACACCAGGACCATTTTTACGTCCAACAATACTTAAACCAAGTCCTTTGCCAGGTTTTTTGAACAATTCAATGTTCATTATTTCATAGAGATCAGTGTCGGAAGAGTGAGACTCTTCTCGATAGACAACCATACGTATTATGGAAGGAGTTTGTCGCAGTGATGCGATGGCTTGTTCATGAGGAGCATTTCGAAGGTTCTCATCGTTTACTTGAAGTATTACATCTCCTGGTTTTAATCTACCATCAAAAGCCGCTGCCCCATCAGGATAAACTTCATGAATGATAACAGCGCCCTGAAAAAGAGTAGAAAATTCAAAAATATGAGAAATCAAGATCTTAAATTAAACGAAAGATGGTGAAAATGAAGAGTTGAAGGATTATTGATGACACTAACCAGTGGAGTATCAGAACCTCCGACGATACTCAAGCCAAGGCCCATTTTCTTTTTTGCTATTTCCACGATAGTTTCTCGACCTGGGATAATTTCACAGGTTTTTGGATCAACCATGGTAATTTCCTCATCGGCGATTGGAGAGGCCAAGTCTTTTCCGTGATGGAAAAAAGAATGAGTGGGATGACAATGGGTGGAGGTGGAGGAGGAAGAGGAGAGGTCCAAATTTTTGTTGTACATTTTGTTGGATTTAAAATCGATTGTTGAACTGCCCAAAGGAACAACTTGTCCGTTATTATTACCAGAGCCCGAAACGGGATTACTCAAAACTGAGTTTTTTTTATGATGGCCTGATTTCTGGCTAGTATTGTAATTGTTTAAATTAATGCTCTGCTTGTTATTATCATTATTATTAGAGGTACCATTGGAGTGACTTGTGAGTAGAGTGTTATTATTATTGTTTACAGGGTTAACTGAGTGTTGGTAACTATCGTGCATAGAGCTTTGTTTGTGCTTCAAGTGATTGGGCTTAGGCGGTGGTAAGGGAGGAAAACCTGTGATGTGAAATGAAAAAAATACAAATAAACAAATAAATTAAGAAAACATAAAATAAATAATAATCAATTTTTTCAACAAAATTTACATGCAAAAAATGTGATTTAAGAAAAAATTGTTATTGTTGAACATTTTTAGCAAAAAATAAACAATAAGTGTGTATTTGAAAGTGAACGTGAAGGTGATGAGTTAATTGTGAGTGTGTGATCATTTATCACAGGAAAATAATCAACTAACTGTTGAATAATATATAGCATGTACAGATTCATAAATATAAACCTTATGAATGTATTGAAAAAAGAGATAGAAACTAAATCTGCAAACATGTAACCATAAATTAAACTCCTGTTTCAATTATAAAAATCGCGAAGATTAAATCGACGGTAAAAAACAATTGACCTGACCACAAGTAATTAGAAGAAAAAAACTCCAAATTGCCAAACTCTTAATGGGTTAATAAAGTCTATCTTGAATGAGATGCACATTGTAACAATAAAGGTTAAACAGTACAAGGAAATTATTCTATCAACCAACAAATTGTTATCACAAATTCATTTCAAGTCAATCTGAATACTGGAAACGTCTAGAAATGTCTCAATGTCTATTTGTTACTAACTCTAGTGAATTAGGTCTAATTAATAACTGTTTTTGTTATTTATATCTGTTAGTTTGGTTGAAGATTGATACTCACTTTGTTAAGGCTGCGATGAAAGACTCGAGGCATGCATTTAATGATTAAACAAAACGAGGATTATCTTCCGACCGGTGCCATAGGCATGGTTAAATTTGGTAAATTAATCAAATTATCATTTGTGGTATTGGTTCAATGTTAATATGTGTGTTATGCAAGTTAGAAGAAGAAAAGAAAGATAAAGAAGAGAAGAAGAGATACAGGGAAAGATAGAGGTTCTAAAGAAGAAAGGTGAGAAAATAAAGGTTTTGTTTGTCTTAAGCACACAGGTCAGGAAGAATTAAGTTCATTTAATTTGAAGCATTATTAAATTATAATCATTTTAAGATTGATCACATTTAACGTTAAAATAAAAGCTAAACACATGAGGCAACAAATTTATTCAAAATGGTCGCCATCTATTAATGCAAAATAAAATTAGGATTATCTATTCACCGCTAACATTTCAACAAGGTGAGAATATCATTTTTTTCATAACATTTCATCTAGTTAATCAATTCTTTAAAGGTTTTCATCTTTATTATCATATTTAAATGAGTAAAACTAATGAAATTTAATTAGAAAATGAAACTCTTTAATCTTGTGCTTTCATGAATATCATCTCCATTCAATTAACAGCAGGAAAAACAGCTTATAATCTCAACCTATGGTAAACTGTGCATCAATCTATACCTCTGTTTTCATTATTGTTTGGTTGATTAGAATAATCAAAGACCATGAATTATGGACTTAAATTTGTTGCCTTAAATGTTTTTATAAGTGTAATGCCGTCTGTACCTAACAAC